GTGGGAAAAGAAAAAAACCCAGAAATTAGGATACAGATCAATCAGGAAGATGGTCCATCACCTCCAGAAATTCTCCCATTAGAGTCACAGAGTCATGAAGCATTTCCTTCTCTGGAGGAAAAAAAATTCAAACCATCTGAAGTTATATTTTTTCAGCTTTATTATCCATTCTGACAAACTTGTATATATTTATATATATTATAACGTGTATATATTATAACTGACAAAATGGTATATACTTAAAGTGTACAATGGATAGTTTGACTGCATGTTTTTTGAAATGATTACCACAATCAGGTTAATTATTACCTCCATCACCTCACCTTTTGTGTGTGTGTGGTGAGAATGCTTAAGTTCTACTCTCCTAGCAAATTTCAAGTACATGACACAGTATTATTCACTCTAGTTACCATGCTGTACATTAGTTCCCCAGAGCTTATTCATCTTGTGGAATTATAATTTTAGTGACATATTACAGGGTTAATCATTTTCTCTTTGGGGACATTGATTTAAAGTGTTGTGTTCCGGACAGAGAAAACAGACTTCTGGTCCCCAAGGGAGAGGGTTAGTAGAGGAGAGATGGATTGGAAGTTCGGGATTAGCAGAGGCAAACTATTATATAGAGAATGGATAAACAACAAGGTCCTACTGTATAGTACAGGGAACTATATTCAACATTCTGTGATAAACCATAATCACACAAATTTATATATATAGAGATACATATATATATATATATATAGAGAGAGAGAGAGAGAGAGAGAGAGAGGGAGAGGGAGAGGGAGAGAGAGAGAACTGAATCACTTTGCTGTACAGCAGAAATTAACACAACATTGTAAATCAACTATACTTCATATAGGTTATTATCACTATTCCTTTCCATTGTGGTAAATCAACTATACTCCAATAAAATTAAAATATTTTAAAACATTAAAAAAAACTATACTTTAATAAAATAAAAATTTTGTTTAAATGTTGTGTTCCAAGTATTATTGCATTTTCTCTTTTTGCAGTGGCGCTCTTACTGATACACTAGCCAAGTGTGTTTGTCTAGCTGCTCCACAGCCACCTAAGGGCGTCGTCCCACCTTTGGGTGCAGTTAAAGGACATGATAATGAATGGGGCTCAACCAGGCCAAAATCTCAGTTCAGTTGGGATAAGCCATGAGAGGTTAACTTAGCATAAGCAATCTGGGGAGAAAGTGAAAAATGATGGATGTCATTTGAATAGGCTAACATTGATAAATAAGTAATCTTACACGAGAGTTAATATTTCTGAATAGGCACACTCCTTTCCTTCCTAGCACATCAACTTCCTCTTGAGGTGAAAATAATCACTGCATTCTTTTCTGGAATTTCTTTCATGACTGTTTCAGCGTCAGGAGCACATGTACATACTGTACCCTTTATGTTGACAGCTGTGGGCTCTGCTCTCTAAGTGGACAAGATAAAAGAGTTCATTTCCTTATATTCAGTGTATCATTAAAGAATGCATTGTTTTATCAGGAATGACTCACCAAGTAGAACTATTCAATCTCTTCTGAATGATTTTTCAGTTTGGAATTTGGGAATTATGCCTTATTTCATAACAAGCGGCCAGGGTGAAAGATTATTTCAATGATGCTTCATTTCTCCATCTCAGCCAGCAGACAGACACTCATTTCTCAAAACATCGGGTTTTCACTCCTTTTGAACGGAGATCATTTACAAAACAGCCACCCCCAATGCTGCCCTGATAACCGCTTGGAAGAGCAGCATTTTTTATGTTGGCAATATCATTGCTCTGGGTCAGGTTACAAAATAGCCAAAGAAACACATTTGTCACCTCTCAAGTTCTACGTGAAAGTGAACTTTAGGTTATAAATGCTTCTAGCGAAGTCTCTCTTTTCCTAGAAGAAATCTCAAAGGGAAAATTTATTCTTCAGTTTATTTTTTTTTCGGCTGGGATTTTTGGCATGGGCGTTTATAAAGTGGTCCATGGGGAATCTCCATAATGGCACAGGGTCCAAAGGGAACACTGCTAGAACAATCAGTTTCTCTTTTGTGGTAGTAAAATACATAAGAGGTTTCCTTTTGATGTTAAATTCTAGATCTGTTCTAATTTGTCCCCTCCTTCAGTGTAGTTGCAAAAAGTGGCTGTTAATCAAATTCTCAGTTTTTAGTATAAAATTTATAGATTAATTTAGGGAAAGTTTAATTTTTTTTTACAATATTGAGTTTTCCCTCCAGGAAATTTGTTTTCCTCTTTTATTAGGACTTGTTTATTGCCCTCCTTTTTTTTTTTTTTTTTTTTTTTTGGCTGCGTTGGGTCTTCATTGCTGCGCTCAGGCTTTCTCCAGCTGCGGTGAGCGGGGGCTACTCTTCCTTGCGGTGCACTGGCTTCTCATTGCGGTGGCTTCTCTTGTTGCAGAGCACGGGCTCTAGGCTCGCAGGCTCAGTAGTTGTGGTGTACGGGGCTTAGTTCTCCGCTATATGTGGATCTTCCTGGACCAGGGCTCGAACCCATGTCCCCTGCATTGGCAGGTGGATTCTTTTTTTTCTTTCTTTCTTTTCCTTTTTTAACATCTTTATTGGAGTATAATTGCTTTACAATGGTTAGTTTCTGCTGTATAACAAAGTGAATCAGCTATACATATATATATATATATATATATATATATATATCCCCATATCCCCTCCCTCTTGCATCTCCCTCCCACCCTCCCTATCCCACCCCTCTAGGTGGTGACAAAGCACCGAGCTGATCTCCCTGTGCTATGCAGCTGCTTCCCACTAGCTATCTATTTTACGTTTGGTATTGTATATATGTCCATGCCACTCTCTCACTTCGTCCCAGCTTACCCTTCCCCCTCCCCATGTCCTTAAGTCCATTCTCTACGTCTGGCAGGCAGATTCTTGACCACTGCTCCACCAGGGAAACCCTGCCCTCCATAAAGCTTTATCACTTTTTTCAAAAATTTCTGGTACATTTCTTTTTTGTAATTTCTACTTATTTTATAATGTTTTGCCATTTTGAATGAGATTTTTTTAATTAAAATTTCTACTTGGTGGTGGAAGTATATAGAAAAAGTATTAATTTCTCAATTTTTACCCTGTATGTAACTATTTGGGGATCACTCTTATTAGTTCTCATACTTTTTCAGTTGATTTTCTTTTACCTTCCAGCTAATTAACTGTATAATCTGTAAATACTCAAAGTTCACCTTTTCTTCACAATATTTATATTCGTATTTCTTTTTTTATTTTTTCTAATTTCATTAGCTAGGATCTCCAGAATAATGATAAATAACAGCAGCTATATTGGGCCTACATCTATCTCCTTATCAACTTTAATTTTTAATTGCAAGCAATGTTACAGCAAAAAATTTTTTAATTTAATAATGAAAGAAAAATCGCCCTGAATCCCACGTGAAAACAAACTTTAAAAATTAGTAATAGGGCTTCCCTGGTGGCGCAGTGGTTGAGAGTCCGCCTGCTGATGCAGGGGACACAGGTTCGTGCCCCGGTCCGGGAAGATCCCGCATGCCGCGGCGCGGCTGGGCCCGTGAGCCATGGCCGCTGAGCCTGTGCGTCCGGAGCCTGTGCTCCACAACGGGAGAGGCCACAACAGTGAGAGGCCCGCGTACAGCAAAAAAAAAAAAAAATTAGTAATAAACACAGACATAGAAAACAAACTTGTGGTTACCAAAGGGGAAAGGGGGGAGGGGGATAAATGAGGAGTTTGGGATTAAAACATACAAACTACTATACATAACGTAGATAAACCACAAGGACCTATTGTATAGCACAGGGAACTGTAGTCAATATCTTGTAATAACATATAATAGAAAATAATATGAAAAAGAATAGATATATATGTATAACTGAATCACTTTGCTGTACACCTGAACCTAACATAACATTGTAAATCAACTATATTTCAGTAAAAATTTTTTTTAATTACTAAAAAAATAATTGTCTGTACGTGTATAGAAAGGGTAAGGAAGGACATACACTGAGCTGCTCTGGGTAGTTCTTTCAGGGGAGTGGAATTCTGGAGCAGGAATAAGGAGAGTGGAGACCCACTTTCTGCTTTGAGCACTATGGATAGCTTGGCTTTTTGCAAGGAGCAATTTCTACTTTTATAAATTTTAAAATGCATCTGGGACACAACATTATAAATCAACTATACTCCAATAAAAATTCTTTTAAAAAAGACTAATGTCAAATAGCAAAAATAAATAAATAAATAAAATATATTGGGAAATGTATTAATACAGTTGAATAGTTCTGAATTTAATATATCAAATATGAATACATTTAATAAACAGATGTATTACCTTAAGTATAAAGATATTGTATGCTAAGGCTTTTTTCATTTTGCAAAAATATTGACTTAATAAAGAAATATGTGTTCATAAAAAATAAAATAAAAAATGCATCTTGGAAAAAATCTGAAGAGTATAAAGTTGCAAAGATTTGTCTTTGGATATCAAGATTTAGATATGCGCATATATTTAATGTCTAAAATTTAAGTTTTGATCACTAAGTTATATCTCAACTAAATGAGATCAAGATTAGATAAATAGATGATAGAAAGATTGATATAGTTATAGATATATAACCACTTGCTGTTACTAGAAAGTCCAAAAACAGAAAGATGGCACAGAAGAGAATTGGGTACAAAGGAAAAGCTTGCAAATTACACAGGGCAGAAGTCTGGGGCAGGGCAGTAGCAACTCTACTCTCCTTCCCAGGCTGCCTTGGAAAATATGATTGAGGAAATTATTTCCTGGGCTGAAAAAATTATAATTGCTCTCTGATGTCATCAGATCTCAATGATTTCCCATCAAACGTTTTCTTTCCTAGACCCCCACGGGGGAGTCTAGCAACCATGGGAGGGCATCTCTAGTATTTGCCCCTGTGTGTAGGGTGCCACGTCGATCACAGTCCTACCCTATCTTATTACCGCCTGCGTGTTAGAACAGGACTAAACCCACACTTTTCGTTGTTCTCTTTCAGGATCTCCAATGAGCACTCCCCCAAACTCCAGATCCGGAGTCACAGTTACTTGAGGGCGGTCAGTGAGGTCTCCATCAACCGAAGCCTAGACAGCCTTGACCCTGCGGGCCTGCTCACATCACCAAAGTTCCGCTCCAGGAATGAGAGCTACATGCGAGCCATGAGCACCATCAGCCAGGTGAGCCCTGTGGCTGCATCTGTGAACTGTACCAGGGTTGGTGGAAAACAAGAGGGCATGACGTGAGGAGGCTGACACCCCCCAGCATGATGCTGATGGGTCTGGCAGGAGGTCAGGTCTAAATGCGGCCTGGTTTGGCCACAGGGGGCTCCTGGTACCAACAGTCTACCAGCAGGGGAGGGGTCCTTGGCAGATGGAGAAAGCACATCAGGGGAGTCCTTGGAAATTCCTTAGCAGTCAGTTGGCACAAACAAAGTAGTCATTAAGGAGTTGTTGGATGAGGCTTCGGCTGGAAAGATGTTTGAAGGATAGAAGGACAGGGTAGACATCATTGGCAAAACCAAGGCAGTGTCAAATCATAAAAGTATTAAGCAGGTAATCAAGACAGGGACCCAGGCACGGGAAATGAGATACGATCTATTTAACCCCAACTGGATCCTAGGTGAATACTGCATCTCAGTTATAAGACACAAGCCCACTTCTAAGAACTGGTACCCAGAACTAGGGATGAAGACTCAGTAAAGGTGACTTAATGTTGCGTCCGAAATATTCAGCTAAAGTTTCTTGATGGCTCTCACTGATGGTCTCAGAGAATGTGGGAGAGGGTTAGGCTGCCCAGACCAACGGAGGGTTGAACCTAGGACTCCTGGAGGGCCTGACCCTGCAGCTTTCAGGGGCCACCAGGTGAGCAGGAGGTGGCTCCAGGGCTTCCTCTGGGAGGACAATAAAAAAGGTATTTTTTTGAAATAATGTTTAGGAGCTCTGAATTTTAATTTATATCACAATTTTTAAAACTAAGCACCATACTATTAACTCAGCTCATATGCAGTGAGCAAAACACTGGGCCAGATTTTGCCAGCTAGTCAATGGTGAATGATGCCTAATTCCTGCTCCCCAAGTTTACAGTCTAACGGAGAGCATACAAAAAACGTAAAAGTGCTGTAAATAACAAACGTTGTTTACTTGAACAAAAAACTCTGAGGTATGGGCTTCCCTGGAGGCACAGTGGTTAAGAATCCGCCTGCCAATGCAGGGGACAGAGGTTCGATCCCTGGTCCAGGAAGATCCCACATGCTGTGAAGCAACTAAGCTCATACGCCACAACTACTGAACCTGTGCTCTAGAGTCCACAAGCCACAACTACTGAGCCCACATGCCACAACTCCTGAAGCCAGCGAGCCACAACTACTGAGCCCATGTGCCTCAACTCCTGAAGCCAGCGAGCCACAACTACTTAAGTCCTCGCACCTGGAGCCCGTGCTCTGCAACAAGAGAAGCCACCACAATGAGAAGCCCACGCGCAGCAACGAAGACCCAATGCTGCTAAAAATTAATTAATTAAAAAAAAAACCACTCTGAGGTAGGTAGGGCAAGAATTAACCATAAGAGCCGCCTTTATTGGGTCAGGCACTGTGCCAACTGCTTCATATTTTCATAATATTAGTTCTTATAAACACATTGTAAGATATATAAGTAACCAGAAGTTAAATGGGACTTTCTTTGTGGTCAAAAAATTGTCACCAAGATCCCAAATTGAATGAGTAAAAGGTGTTCAGTACCCAGGATTCTAAAGAGGGAGCTTCTAGGCATAGGGTCTAGGAATATGCATTTTAACAAATATTCCAAGTGATTCTAATAAAGCAATACATTAATAAATAGTACTTATTAACGTCGTATATATCTGAACTTTGAAAATGCTGGCCTAAAGCCTATTCAAGGAATAATGAATTCTCAAGTGTAGTTAGAGCTCAGAATACTTATAGCAATGGGAAATCTGTTCTGAATTTTATCCTGGGGATGTTTTTTGTCCATGGCCTTCCATGCAGAGCCCAGGGGACTGGACTTTATTCATTAGGAATGGGATTGATTGAAGATTAATTAAAACTTCAGCTTTTAAGCAGGCAAAGGATATGATCAGAACTTTGGTGGAGGATAATTAATCTAGCAAAAAAAATGTAGGAAAGATTGGAGAGAATGAGAAAGAGGCTAGAGGCAGAGAAGCCAGTTTGAAAGACATTGTGATCATCAAGGTGAGCATTACTACTGCTGCTGGTGGTGGTGGTAGTGGTGAGGATAGTGGTGGAGATGGTGGTGAGGTGATAATGATGGTGGTGGTAGAGTTGGTGGCAATGGTGCTGGTAGTGGTGATGGTGAAGGTGGTAATGCTGGTGGTGGTGATAGACTAAGCACTGAAGCATCTCTGATCTGTCGGAGTGAGACCCCGAGATAGGACCACTGCTCTCATTTTGGCCCCACCATCAAAATAGAGCTCCCTGCTCTAAATGAATTCTTGTAAAGCAAAGGCAGGGACCAAAGCAAGGCCCCGAAAGCAGGGTAGGGCAGGAGTCAGGGAAAGCTGACATACTGGATTCCAGGATTTGCCGACTGTACATTTCCTTACTTTAAAGTAATCTCCAAAGGGAATTCCCTGGCAGTCCAGTGGTTAGGACTCTGCACTTCCACTGCCAGGGCCCAGGGTTCAATCCCTGTTCAGGGAACTAAGATCCCCCATGCTGCACAGAGCAGCATGCAAAAATGAATGAATGAATGAATAAATAAATGTAACCTCCAAGAGTATGCATACCTATTTGTGCTAGGTACTGCTGTCCAGTGATACCCACTATCCCAACTCTTAGGTAAATATTTGGCGCCTCATTTGGTGAAATTTGGACTTGCCTTGTTCTTACTTTTTTCACAGTAAACAATATAATATTTAAAACGTCTTTAAGCTTATCTTTATTCTGGACAGGCTCATGCTCACATAGCCTTCCAGAATTGCAAAATAGTCTGCAAATCCCAGGTGTCATACCTGCAGAATACTTCAGTGGGTTTAGAATATTTCGTTGGAAAATGTTTATACACACTTACTGCTTTCATAATTTTACATGGTTAAACCAGGAGAGCAGGTCACTTCCCCATCAGGACATGCTGCCTGCTTTTAGTCCCTACTCTGTAGATCTGACCTTCCTTGAGACAGTGTCACTTCCTGGTGACAACTTAGTAAAGTATCAACAAATCACTGAAGAGGCATATGTGGGCCTTGATCCAGGTGTGGGTCAAGTCTGCAATTCAGGGGCGTGATCATTTCGCCTTAAGTAAAATACAGAAGGCAGAGCCATCCTAAATGGATTCCTAATGACACACCATTTTTCTAGTTCCATATTCAATTTTCAAGTAATAGAGTATCGTGAAGGATAACTTCAAGCTTTCTGTCGCAGTCCCAACATTGTCATTATTCAAAGGGAATGGTTTCTTCTTCAAAGCAATCCTACCATACATACTCTAGGCTTTTCAAAAAGTAGTTGGTTTTTGTGATGTCGGATATATTCTCTCGTATAGATCTTTAGCAGCAGCTCTAGTAGTATAGAATTTAAGTACATTATATCCTATTCCTCCTTAAAACCTGATATATTATTGATATATTATTCATCAAAGGCTCCTAGAAACATCAAAGTAAAATGTTATAAGCCAAGAAATTGGTCTAGAATAACTAAATTGTTTGTTTCTGCCATTCATACCTTAACAGAAATGAAACATTCTTGAAAACAGACTGTGCTTGGATGATAGAGAAAAACTGAACCCCTTTTTATATGTTTATAACCTTTCTATATTTTTTTTACTATATATACATCTAATAAAACAGGGGCTTTTAAAGTAAGACTTGAGAAGAAAGAATTATAGAAAGTCACATTTTAAAATATATTTGGTATAATAACTGTCATTTCCAAATTAGTTTAATTTACATCTCAATTTATTTCAAGTCCAAACCTCAAATATCTTCATCTGGAATCGTAAACTAGAAGCCCACAGACATATTTTGTCCAGTAATGTGTTGAGTTTCCACAACATTTTTTAATTTTTTCTTAAGAGGGACTCCATTATCTTTATTTATTTTTTAATAGTTTTTTGGCCATGTTGGGTGCTTGTTGCTGTGCACAGGCTTTCTCTAGTTGCAGCAAGCAGGGGCTACTCTTCGTTGCGGTGCACAGGCTTCTCATCGTGGTGGCTTTTCTTGTTGAGGAGCACGGGCTCTAGGAGAGCAGGCTTCAATAGTTGCAGCACGTGGGCTCAGTAGTTGCAGCACATGGGCCACAGGGTACGCGGACTTCAGTAGTTGTGGTTTGTGGGCTCTAGAGCGCAGGCTCAGTAGTTGTGGCGCATGGGCTTAGTTGCTTCACGGCAACTCCCGGACCAGGGATCGAACCCATGTCCCCTGCATTGGCAGGCAGACTCTTAACCATTGCACCACCAGGGAAGTCCCACATCATTTTTAAAACACAAATGTAATAGGCAGTTATTGTGCTCAGTGGTAATACCAGCAGATTAGCTGTGATTTTTGACCTAGATCATCCCTTCACTTTATATATATAAAGAAATAGAAACTCAAATAAATTAAGCATCTGTCAGCACCCAGCTAGTCAGTGACTGAACCTAGAAAACCCAGGTGTCCTGACTCCTAACTGGTAAGTTTCTCCAATATCTGCTGGAATTGGGGTATGGGTGGCAATAATAATGCCAATAACAGTAGTAGTAATTATGAAAATGAGAATAATAGAATAGTTACCAAGTATTGCTTGCCTGATAGAAGCTATAAGCTTTGCATATTATCTCATTAATTTCATAGCAACTATAAGAAAGATCATTTTTTTAATTTATCAAACTCAGTCTTAGAGAATTAGAGTAACTTATCTCATTCTTCCCACTACACTATCTCGCAAAATAATATCTAGTATTTATCGAATGCCTACCATGTGCCTTGAAATGTGCACTTGTATATTTCATTTTTTATCCTTAAAGCATCCCTATGAGGTAGGTATTATTATATGCATTTTAAAGATTAGGAAAATGAGGCTCAGAGAATTCAAGCGAATTGCTCATGATATCATAGAAAGAGCATTAAACTACTCCTTCTTTCCATATAGAAAATAAATCCAAATGAATTTAAAATCTGAGCACTAACACAAAGTGACAAAAAATTTTAAATTAGGGGAATATATGTA